TTCTCTCTGAAACATAGCGAAACTCAAGACATTTATTTTGGTTATGCCATTCATAAACACATAGACTGATTTCGAGATTATTTTCTTCAAACTTTTTGTAAACTGGTGTTGAGACCAGCACTGGAATTGGGATGTTATCTATATTAAGTTCCTCTACAAAATCTTCATATAAACAATGCAGATTTCTTTCTGGATGAACTTTAATTTGATGTAAAGCTCCTAGAACACTCCACCCAAAACACCAGTCATCATCATTTTGAATATTTATAATTCCGTTATTATGTTTGGCAAAGTTTCAGAGAGAAGAAAGAGAGAATATAAGCAAATAAATCTTCTAGTAATTACAGAAGATGAAAGAAGTCATTACTGCATAATCAAAGATTTATATAAGCTAGTATATAACCATAGCAAGTATAAAGGATGAAAATATCTCTGCTGATATTGTCTTCATGTATATTCTGCAGAAAAAGGATTAAAGAAGCATATACCAAAATGCAAGAGTTTGAACAATGCTCCTCAGCGACCGCAAATGCTAATAAAAAATAAGAGTATTAAAGCTTTTTATAATCATAAATGCATGCAACCCAACCCATATCGTATTTTCTGAGATCTAGAAATGTTAACTGAAATGTTAACTCCAGAAGATAAAACGAAGTTAACCTATACTGAAAGATTACAGATGTACAAGCCGTGTAGCTATTGCTACGTAGTTGTTTACATAGACAGTTCACTAAAGTATGAAATCATGAGTCACGATTTATATAGAGGACCTGATATGCTAGAAAGATTTGTCACAAAAATTGAGGAGAACTTCTAGCTATTCAAGAAGATTTATCTGTACCAGCTGAAATGATAATAGTCTCAGGAGACCTAAAGTCATATAATAAAGCAACCGAATGCTGGATTTGCAAGAAGGCTTTTCTCAAACCATCACAAGAAATATTAGAGAAATTCGAAGAAGCAAAGTATAAATTATTATTATTAGAAGTCAATAAATAGGAAGCAAATATGGGGAAAGACCATCCAGAAAAGAAAAAGATACAAAAAGAATTCCAAGAAGCTTTAAGTTCTTTTAACTGCAAAGTAAAAGATCACAACCATATAAGCAGTAAGTATCGAGACCCAGCTCATGACACATGTAAAAAAAAGTTGCGAATAGGATCTTTTGAAACAAAAGTACCTCTTATTTGTCATAATTTCTGGGGGTATGATTCTCATCCACTTATGAAAGTTGTAAGCAAGTTTACGGCTGATAAGCTAAATTGTATTCCCGAAAATATAGAAAAATATAAGGCTATGGATGTAGGTCAGCTTCGATTTCTTGATAGTTTTCAGCATATGGGAATGGGTCTTGATAAGTTAGTAGAATGTCTAGGAGGAAAGCTCGAAAAATTTTCTCTAACTATAAAGTACTTTACAGAGAAAGGCTACTCAATAGATAAGACCAAGCTTCTTTTCTGAAAAGGAGTATTTCCATATGACTAGACAAACTCATGGAAAAAATTTGATAGAACAAGTCTTCCGCCTAGAAAGAATTTCTATTCACTTTTTAGTCAACAAATATTAGTAAAGAGGATTATGTGTATGTGCAAAAAATATAGCAAATATTTGAGATGAAAAGTTTTGGAGAGTATCATGATCTTTATCTTGAAACAGACATACTTTTACTTGCAGATGTTTTCATGAACTACACCATTATGTGCTTAAAAAATGATGGCTTAGATCCTTCTCATTATGTATCTGCACCGGGAATGTTCAACGATTCATTATATAAGAGCAGTGGAGTCGAACTCAAGCTCATGACAGATATGGATAAATATCTGATAGTTGAAAATGGAATCTGTGGAGGAATAACGATAGCAAGTCATCGATACGCCAAAGCAAATAATCCACAATATCCTAACTATATTTCTAGTAAACCAAAGTCTTGGATCATTTATAAAGATATGAACGGCTTGTATTCAGGTGCGATGACCCAATACATGCCTACAGAAATTCTAGATAAGGTAAGTCCAGAGGAAGTACCAGATATTCAAAGTATTGCACCTGATGCTGAAATAGGCTATGCACTTGAAGTTGATCTAGAAGTCCTAATGCGCTTGCATGATTTCTTTGCAGACTATTCATTAGCATCAGAAAAGCAGATAATACCAGAAAACTGGCTTAGTCTATATAATGAAATGTTAGTGCATGATAAAAATGTTGGAGAAGAGAAATATGTATCTGGAGAAAAGCTAGTTCAGTCCCTTTTTACTAAGAAGAATTATATAGTTCATTACTGAGCTCTCCAGACATATATGAAGTTCAGAATAAAGGTTACAAAGATTCATAGCACTCTCAAGTTTAGGCAGTCTCCATGGATAAAGGAATATATTGAGGAAAATATTCATAAACGCAAAATAGCCAAGGCAAATGGAGATGAGTTTGGGGTTGTGTATTATAAGCTAAAAAATAATGCAGTCTTTGGCAAGCAGATGGAGAATGTTTGTAAACATATGAGAGTAGAACTACTACGAACAGAAGAGGATAAAAAATTAGACGATTAATAAGTTTGCTATTATTTGTAGGCTTCAAGCAATTTGAGGGGAGTATTACAGCAGTCCATATGTTAAAGAGCACAGTAACACTAAATAAACCAATCTATGTAGGGCAGGCAATTCTTGACATTAGCAAGGCCATGATGTTTAACTTTTGATACGGTTATATAAAGCCTCGCTATAGAGATAAAGCCCATCTACTTTATACAGACACAGACTCACTCATCATGTGGATAGAAACTGAAGATATATATAAAGATTGAGCAGAGAGGCCAGACATTTTTGATCTTAACTATTTAGGCGATTTATTTCTAATGAAGGATGAGACAAAGAGCATACCCATAGGCGAAATGGTATGTTTAAAGCCAAAAATGTACCCAGTCCTTCCAGCGGGGCATGATCCTGAAACTTTTGATAACCCAGATTCTGAAGACCCTAAAAAGAGCACAGTATCCAAAAGACAAAGGGTGTAAAGAAATGTGTGGTCAAAAGAGAGCTTCGACATAATAAATTTCTAGAATGTCTT